GGAATCATCATCTTCATCATCACAGACTATCACTTATATCACATCTTAAGGCTTGCAATGGGCTTTATAGGCATCATTATCTCATTTGATTCTCACAATAACAATCCTAGCAGGTTGGTGATATTATCATTCGCCTGTTACAGATAAAAACCAAACCAAAACAAAACAAAAACAAACAAACAAAAAACTAAGCTAGAGATAAAATGAGTTGCTCAGTACACCACAGATATTAAGGGTCTAAGGGTAAACTTGAACTCAGGTCTTCTGACTCCAAGTCCAGAGCTCTGAGCCACCTAGCCATCGAATAAATGCTATCTTGAGTAATATTGGTTAACCATATAACCCTTTAGTCTCTGTAAAAGTGTTGAAAGGAACTAACTCACATTTACGATAGACTAATAGGCATTAAAATGATTTAAAAAGTCATAACACATTTTACAATTTCAAAATACTATTATTAGTATAAGCTATTGTTATTATTAATCACCATTAAAATGATTACAATCTAGGAATCACAACCATTCTAATTTAAGATGATATTAACATATAGTTTGGAAAGTAATACATACTCTAACATTTTCATCAACAAGGGTATTCCTTCAAGTAATGAAGATAACAGCTTTTTCCAGGCCCTTCTATCCTATTTAACTCTATATCTCCTCCTGCATTCATAACAGGAAGTTCATCTAATATGTCACTGGTTTTCCTGGAATTCTCTTAACAACCCAAAGACAACAATATAGAACACAGGTTCTCCATTGATTATCTTCTAACTTAAACCTTGATTCCCCATGAGTTCCCTCCTATTTTCTTTTCTTCCCACATTGACCACTATGAGTTTCTGAAGGGTGGTCTTTTCCCCTTTCTCCTTATTCGGACTTTTTAATTGATTTTATATTTCTTTTGTCCTTTGTATTTGTCCTTCACAGCCTCGACCCATTTGTGCTTTTCTCAACAGGATAATTTGAAAGATATCAGTTGTGTTAAATAACTATTTTTATTTCCTAGCTAGAATTATATTCAACTTTAAAAAAATAATGCATTCTTGCTTAAAAATCATCTTCTTTACTTTCTGATATCTAATGTGCTAATATGTTATTTTTCATCATAGTCTACACAGAAGCTGACCTAATTCTGACTGAAGTTACATGGATTCATAGGATCATCAATATATAATAGATGCAGAAGAGGTTGTCTATTCCAATCTGCACCTAACAGAAAGGATGAAATTGAGGTCCACATAGTATTAACATTCTCCTGGCCTCCCAGAATATTTTATCTTTGACCTGAGGAATTAGGATCTGGAAAATCACATTCCTGGCTAACATATATCAAGGGTTATTCTCAATTCTTGACATATATGGTATTAATCTATACTTTTCCCTCCAATTCTAATACTTCTGGGCAATTTTCTATGATGGTTTCTTGAAAAAGGTATTCTTATTTGGTTTTTATCATGTTCTTCTGCCAACATTCTTATATTTGAATTGTCTCTCCATTCCCTGCTTTCTAGGTGAGATGTTTTTGATAGCAAATATCTTATTTGTTTTATTTTTTAACTTTTGTCTCTATTTTTCAATAATATCTTATTGTACAATTGGATTTTTGAGTTATTCTTCTTCTTCCATGTTTCTTCAAGCAATCCATTGCTTTCAAGGCTTCCTGTCACTTTTTCTAGGCCATCTATTCCACTCCTTATGTCTTCCTTCCTTTTTTATGAAGCTTTCCATTCAGCGTTGGAGTTTTTGTGGCAATTCTCCTCTCTAGGGTTATTTCAGAAAGATTCTGTCCTGCAATTTTATACTGGAGTCTTCATATCTCATAATTTTAAATTAGTGCATTAGGGATTTCCTCTTGCTCACTTATTTTTGAAACCTCTCTACTGCCTGGCCTTTTCTAGTGTGATTTAGTTCTGGAACCTTTCTCTGTAGGACTGTAGAAGATGCTGGATGGATCACTGATGAGAAGAAATTCCACAAAGAGAGGCCAGTGAAAACAGTTGATTATTGACTGTCCCACCAGTGGAATGCCTCAAACTTCTATTACTATAGTAATGATTATATGCATTCACTGACCCTAGGGTACCAGGCAACCACTGAGGCATGTGTGTGGATGACAAGAGGAACTTCATGCCAATAGGGTACCTTCTTTGGTTGATGTTATTATTGTTCTGTTTTGTTTTCTTCTGATGCTTATCTTGCAGGTATTTCTTATCTTTCTCTTTTCTGATAGATGTTCATTTGTTATTGTTTTTGAGGTCCCAATTTAGATGGAGATTTTAATTCTACCACCTGAAGAAAAGTACTTTCAGTGACTGTCCACTTATAACACATGGCCTTCCAAGCAGTCCTAATTTTTCCATGCTGGATTAATATGGCTCCATCATTAATGAATATCATTTGAGTTTCATTTTAACTAACCTATTTCTATTTTAAACATCTACAACCCTTTGGCATTCTAAACAAACAAGCAATCTAGGCTAACTATCCACTTAATAATGAAAGAAATTAACTCTGTCCTGGCAGGAATGACTTCTGAGTATCTTTAAATGAATTCCAGAGCCAGATAGTGTAAGTGCTACATTCCAACTTGTGAGGTCAAAGTATTTAAGTCTTTAAATCATTAAGATCTACAATATTCCTTAGAAGACAATGACACTGTTTATGCACAGGGAGACTGAGGAACAGAGGAGTTACCTGACATGCTTAACTTAGTGACTTGGAAAACTCTACAGAGCCCTTGAGGTCAAATTTTATAAAGCTCACTGAACTATTCCCTCCCCTGGTATTTCCACCCTGTCTTTCTCTGGGGTCCATTTGAAACACTGATATCATGATTAGTGCTGAATCCTCACAGGCACAACATGAAAGATTTTCTCAATCCCAAACCTAAAATACTCCCTCCCTATTTTACTTCTAAAGTAGAAACCTTTCAGGTGACATCTCTGTGGGCTTTAAACTATAGAATGACATGTAAAATCCAAACACAAATTCCTCTTGGCTTGCCCAGGGAAGGGGGAGAGAGTTATTATGCTGAACTTTGTAGGTTTTTGTGATATCCACACTTCATATCTGATGGTAGAAAATAATTTATTGATTTTCAATTAAAACATCATGTTCAAGTCCAGCAAAGCATCAGTTACCAGAATTAACCTGTATTAAAGTTTCCAGGGAGAAATGTGTTCTAAGGGGTAACAGATATGGGCATGAATAACAGAAGGTTGGCTTTTCACACATTCATATCAAATTTTGTCACACTTCTAATGAGCAGGATTTTCATGCCATAATTTTATAAGGGAACAACCATCTAGAGTGTCAAAGTAAACTTTTCCCTCCTAAATTTGCTTCTGATGCTCTGGTATGCATGTTTCAGCAGCCTTTTCAAACTGAACCAGCCTTGGGCCCTGTGGCTGTCTCATCCTGGGACATCTCTCTGCCTTCTGGCACCTTCTCAGGTAGTTGAGTTTCTCTAGAGGCCTCCGTGTAAACATAGGCCCAAGCCATCCTTAACTCACTCTCCTCCCAAGTCTGATTTAAATTTTCATGAATCTGACCCTATGTTACTACAAGGTTATTCACCTCCTCATCCTAGTTTTTCAATTAGAATGTTAATTCCCTGGAGCCTGGGACTCTCTTTCTTATTGTCAGTCAGTCAATAAATATTTATAAAGCATCGACTTTATACCAGATACTGTGCTCAACACTAGGGATACAAATATAATTAAAACCAAAGACAAGTCCCTGCCCCGGAGAAGCTTATAATCTAATAGGAAGACAACTCACAAAAAGAAGTGGAAAAGCAAGGGAGGGTTAGAGGCAACGGAAGGGGTGCAGGGAATGTTGGAGAGTTCCAGAGAAGTCCCAAAGCACTACAGCTTGTGGCAAATGGGCAGAAATAACTGTGTTGCACACTGCTATCTCTAATCAGAGGCCGTGGAACCCATGGCTCTGCTCCCCAGTTGATTATATTTGTATTCCCAGAATGTATAAGCACTGTTAAGAAAAAAATAAAAACAGAAACAAAACAAAAAAACCCCTGTTTTCCTGCTTGTCTTAGCTCAATACCTTCATAAGACTAAGCGAATGGATTCTTTCATAAAAGATTCAATACAATAAGTCCTGTTGAAACATAGACTGGGTCTTCCAAAATCTAGGATTTTGTGCCAGGCCATTGAAGACATGTCCTATCTCCCTTCTTAGCCTTGTTTTAAGTTATACCTCTTCATTCCATTGTCTAGGCCTTTCTGCTGCTCCTTATACACAACACTGTGTGCCTGGTCTCTAGGCATTTGCCTTGGCTGGCTCCTGTGCCTAAACTTCACTCTTTCCTAACTTCTACCTCTTGTAATATAATTCCTTATCACCTTCAAGTCTTAACTCATGCATCATCCCTCCCATGAAGGCTTTTCTGATGTTCCCAAATTCCAGTGCTTTCCTCACGAAAATAATCACTTTGAATTTATTTTATATAAACCAATATATGTGCAGGTAAATTTCTCCATGTTAACCTCATATGACCATCATTCATTAATGTGTTTAAATCTTTTTTTTTTTGGTCTATTAATATTTTCAACCTCTGTGACTCCTTGACAATCAAATAAACAAGAAATGCATTAGCTTCTAAAAATGAGAATATAGTCTGTGCTCTTGGAGCTCTGATGTGTAGGAGAAGTCTGTCTTCCTCTTCAGTAATAATGTGGACACATGCCTCTGAACTCCCATCCATTACAGAGTCCTCTATCCAACTGAACATATAAACTTGATGGAGTTAATTGAACTTCTACTTCTTTTGTGGCTTAATAATTGCTCTCATTGCTGATTTTTTTAAGCAAATTAAAGAGTGGTACAGGCAGTTCCCAGGAATCCAGTTACTGGGCCTTCCTGATCTAATTTAGATTTTTAGGAGAAAAAAAAAATCACACTGCGGCTCAATTTAATTATGAGGCTAAATATAGATCTGGAAGAAGAGACTCTGTGTATGTGTATTATAATATAAATTACCTTCTCTCTGCAGGTGGGGCATTGTCAGCTGCTTGCACCGTGAGGGCATAGGTCCGCCCCACTGTCAATTCTACTCCTGGTGCGATGGTAACCAGACCCGTGGTCTTATTGATGACGAAGTCGCCCTGATCCCCAACGAGGATCTGGTATGAGATCTCCCCATTTGACCCTTCATCTGCATCTACTGCAGTGAGCTGGAATTGAAAATCATACATAAATCCTTCAGGAATCAACCTGTCACCAAATTGTCATCCCCATCCTCTCCTCATCCCCCACCCATCTAGGGAATTTTCAGAGAAAAAAATCAATCAAAGATGAGGGGAAAGTTTTGTCCTCTGGTAATAGTGAATCACAATTAGAAAAATGTTCATTTTCTTTCAGGGGCACAAAAAGAAGAAAGAACTTCTTACTTCTTGAGGTTTACCTTTCCGGTGAATCAAAAGGTACAAAAGAAGGAACCTCATAGTGTGATTCCAAGGAAAGGGTAAGAGATTTGGAGTTGGCTGATCTGAGACCTGATTTTATTTCTATTACCATGTGTCTGCTAGTAGCTATGTGACCCTCAGCAAATCATTTAATCTCTCTGACCTTCACCGCCTTCATATAAAATGAAAAAAAATGGTCCAAGTGAACTAAAACTTAGTACCTAATACCTGATCTAGGAGCGTGTAGCAATAGAATTTATAGAAACTTATTTTGTCATTTCCTCTCTCTTGTCTTTCCAGCTACCCTCCCCCAATACACACACAAAGACCAGCTCTATGAAAAATTATAATTTTTTTTCCTTTTCATTCCTCAATTCCCCTAGTTTTTCTAGCTCTCCTGTAAGATGTTTTTTAAAGGCCTCTCAGTATCTCCTTCCCCAGAATCTTCATTATTAGAAAAAAAGTGTGATAGAATTCATTTGCACTAAAAATGAATTATCTATCCTTATGAATTGCTTTGCCCAGAAATATTTGAATTTTACTGGAACTCTGTAAGACTTGGGAATGAATCTTTAACTGGATTGATTTACTTCAGCTGGCCAACAAAAGTGATATTTGGAGGACTTAGGAGCTCTTCCTCCCAATTCTCCCTGACATATAATTTTCATTTGTGCTTAATATGACTACGTAAAGCTCTTCCTGCATTGGTAATATGGTGATCTCTATCAAATGGCTAAGCTTCCGAAGTGGGCAACTGTTTTCAGTTATCAGAGAGGGGTCTGATTTGAGTTCACTAATGCTCATTTGTCAGCTACTGAAAGTGGATTTGCTAAGGGAAGAAAGACTGAGGGATGTTATAAAATCATAATACCAATCAACATTTATATGATTTTTAAAATCTGCAACATTCTTTGCATACATTGTCTTCACTGAAACTCATAACAAATTGTGGTGCAGGGACTAGAGACATTCCTATGTCTTTTTTGAAGAAAAGGAATAGGGGGTGGAGCAGCTAGATGGCATAGTGGATAGAGCACCAGCTCTGGATTCAGGAGGACCTGAGTTCAAATCTAGCCTCAGACACATAACACTTACTAGCTGTGTGACACTGGGCAAGTCATTTAACCCCATTGCCTAGCCCCCCCCAAAATAAAAAAGATAAGGAAAGAGTCCCAAGAGGGTCTTGCCAAAAAGTAAACAGCAAACAATTGTCAGACCCAAGAATCAAGCCTCAGCCCTTCTCTACTTCCAGCACTCTATGTTCTATGCCAAATTTCTTGGTTTGTGGTAGGTACGTAATTGTGAAATTTGAGCTTTTTTGTTTCTTACAGGCAGACAACAAAAGTTATATGAAATTTGATGCAAGGTCACTCAGAACAAAGTAAAGAACAATTGTAGTTTGTAAGAAAAGGGTGTGCCTAACCCTGATTAGTTTGTGTTAAATTAATTTAAACCAGGAAAGAGTGTACAAGTGTGTATATGCCTGCAAACATGCAAACACACACACACACACACACACACACACACACACACACACACAAACATGTTCCTTCCAGTACTAATTTGCCATCACTCACTGCAATGATGAGTTTATTGAAAATGTTTCCCTACTTTCAGTTGAAATTATTCCCATTTAAAAATAATAATATCCTCAAAATTTTGTACTTGGGAATTCCATTGTAAGTTACCTTTTAAGGTTCAAACTTCAAATACTTTACATGGACCCATTTTTGTGTTCATATTATGAACATAAATGACTATATCACCTGGTTTCCCATTTAAATTTTGATTATGATTCACATATAAAAATAAGGTAGCATTGACATACGTAATTTCCTAAAGACAGAGAATGGGATTTCAGAATGAAAGTGAGCACAGAGAAGCTGAGGTGTGTTTGGGGGTAGATAGCTGTGGTTGTTGGATGGAAAAGTATCACATAAAAGGATCATGGGAGTAGGACAAGATTGACAGCCCTGGTGCCAAAGGAAGAGGCAGAAGCTGTTCACAGAGACAGTCAAAAGGAATGATGGATTTTTGAATGAGGGAACCATTCATGCCAGGGAAACTTATTCTCCTTTATGGGAGGGTGAAATAGGGAAAAGAGTGGATGCAGGTAATACAGCCTATAGAATCTATTTTAACTTTAGCAAAGTACTTAGCACAATGTCTCAGGAATCTTAATTAAAATTTAGTTCTAAATGGATTAGGTTTTAACATTCTTCCTGGGATTTAAATTGGTTAATGAAATTTTGTAGTCAATGCCAACATATCATGATAAGAAGAGGTGTCAAGAAGGATGTGGAAGACATAGGTGTTAGGACTAGTCTGGCTTAATTTTTTTTTAATAACTATTTTGTGGGCCGGAGGAGCAAAAGGATAATTGAATTCAAGGCAGGCGTGTGTTTGACAAGCATCATTAAAAAACAAAAAATTAAAAAAAGACACAGAGAGGAACAGCAGTTAGAATCAGGAGGACTTGGTCCAAAATCCTGTCACAGATAAACTAGCTGAGCACCTATGGACAATTCCCAGAAGTCCATGGTACCCTGGGCATTTCTGAAAGTCTTTAAGTAATACAGTAGTGATTGATATATGTATGATGAGAATTTCCCATCAGCCAATCTCCTGTGTCAACGAAGTAAAAAGTCTAGGCCAATTATTTTTTTAAAGGCAAAAGACACAACTAAGAATGAAAATATTCTGTGAATGAACGAATGAAAAACAGAGAAAAAACAGAAACCTAAAATAGCATAAACACATACAAATTCATACATCTACACACAAAATACTGCAAAACACTGCAGTGGAGAGAGCATGAGATTTAGAGTTGAAAGAGGAGAAGCTTGAAATTTGTTTGGGCTGCTTGGTACTCGTGTGACCTTAGCCAAGTCGTTTGAATTTTCTTTCTCTCAGTCTTCTGACTGTAAAATGAAAGTTTTAGACTAGGAAAGATATTCTTAACTTGGTGTCTACAAACTTGGCTTTTTTAAAAACAATGATAATTGCCATTTGAGTTCCTTTGCAATCTTCTATATTTTATTGTATACATTTAAAAATATTATTCTGAGAAGGGGTCTAGAGCCTTGACCAGATTGCCAAAACACTCCATTGCCACACACACACACACACACACACACACACACACACACACACACACACACAAAGAAGACCCCATAGACTTTAATGTCCCTGAGATCCATTTATGTGTAGGACCTTGATATTTAAAGTCCTTCCCAGACAGGCTCCAGCTGAGCGTCCCAGATTTACCCCTTTGTGCATTGTCTGTTCCTACCTAACTGACTTCCATGCTGTAACTGGACATTCCATTTCCTACTTCCTTCCAGTCTTTGTATCCCAGAGCTTAGAACAATGACTTGTTTGTTTTTGTGAGGGGAGTAGAATATAGGTATCTCCCAATAAAGAACTCCCTCCCTCTCTCAGTATGGATTGGTACATCTGGGAATTGTCATAGTAGAGAGTGTTCTGGGACAGTTTAAGTGACTTGCCCAGGGTCACAAAGCTATCAGAGGAAGGATGTGAGCCCAGGCCTTCCTGACTTGAAGATTTAGGCTGCTTCTTGCCTGATATCTAGCAAGCAATTAATAAAAGTTTATTGGATTGGAGAAATCTTATTTAATTCTTAAATCATGATATGACTATTACTCAATTATATGACTTGCTGATGAGTAAGATGGAATAATAGAAGCTTTTAATATGAAAAGAACTTTGTGAGGGTGGGGTGTGTGTGTGTGTTTATGAGTTATAAGGATCATCAGAATCATTGCTTACATGAAGTAAAGACCGTGGGAAGCCTTCCTCACCTAACACAGGCTGAATTCAGAATTTCTTTAGAGGCATGAAACCTACTTTCTATGTCTGTCTATTTCCTTTTCCGTGTCCCTACTCCTCCTCCTGGTAAATATAGGGGTTGGAAAAGAAGGAGGACAGACAGCCAGGACGAGAGAAGGCACCACTATCTTACAAGAAGAAGTCTACATTAGCCACAAATTGGGCCTGCTTGCTAAACTTTCTATTTCTAGACCGTTTTTGTTTTTATTTTGCTCAGACAGTTCCCCTTGCAGGCATGCCCTGTCACCTCATTTCTTATGAGTAGAACACCTGTTTTCTTCCAAGTGCCACCTGCCTGAGCCTCCACTCAGGACCTAGTGGTCTCCCACTCCAAAATGAGGTTCATGTTTTGTATATATTTATGTTCATGTTTGTACCTAGTGTCCTCCCATTATAAGCTTCAGGGCAGAGACTTATTCATTACTTTCAATCCTCTGCATTTAGCACAGTGTCTGGCACATAGCAGGTGCTTAATCAATGCCTGCAGAGTTCAAAGGGTGAATCACATAAAAAGAAAGGAGAGGTAAAGAGAGGGAGAAGTGGGTTGTTAGTAGGGTTAATCCATTCATTTGGAAGTCCCCAGGATTCTTGGCTGGCTTTTAGCCCTTCATAATTCTGGCTGATTTTGGAGTCATCAGGTAATTGGGGAATTGTATTGTTATTACTTTTATTTTATTTTATTTCATTTTTTTTGGTTAGGCAATGGGGTTAAGTGACTTGCCCAGGGTCACACAGCTAGTAAGCGTTATATATCTGGGGTCAGATTTGAACTCAGGTCCTCCTGATTCCAGGGCACTGTGCCACCTAGCTGCCCCTGTATTGTTAATACTTTAACAGCCACCTCTGTCGGGCTGTTTCACAAAGTTCTTTTCATATTAAAAGCTTCTATCATTCCATCTTACTCATCATCAAGTCATATA